CAAGTACAGATGGTTTCCCAGCCATCCCAAGCCCAGCCGGCTCCGCACTCACCGATCTCCATCTCGATGAAGGCTGCCTCATCAGGCAGGGCTCTCGGGATCACTCCGGGGTCGCTGAAGCTCGTCCGCAGGAGCGTGGCCATGGCGAACAGGAAGAGAACCGCTGCGAACACGGGGATGGCCGGGGACAGCTGCACCGCCAGGTACCGGCACCTGTGGGGGGGCAAGGGGGAATCAGACCACGCAAGCTCTGCCTGAGCAGAGCCTGAAAGCTGGGCAGGGCAGCAGAATCCAGACCTCCCCAAACGCTGGCTACGTCTGGAGAAGCTGCTCAGCGCTTCCTTCTGATCCCACCACCACAGGGAAACACTCCTGGGGCAGAAATAACGACCAGCCACGATCGCAGTACCACCGTGGTTTTAACCAGCCAGGCGCTGGACACCTTCCAGTGCTTTGTTTTGTTTCCAGCTCTCATTTTGCTCAGTCACAGGCACGAATACAAGCAGCCAGCTCTAGAGGACACCCATGGCAGGAGCCGCTGGGGCTGGACCAGACCTCGAGGAGAAACACCCAAGGTCCGGTCCAAGAGGCCACAGCGCGAGCGAGACAGAAGGCACGGGGGCATTTTGGAATGGTGAGAATCTCTGACTGTCCCCTAAACAGGCAGCGGCATCCAGCACCACAAAAACTGCTTTCCAGGGATTAACCGCATCTTGTGCCTCTCAAGAATGGCTTCACGGGGAAGCGCAACCATCCCCTGAGACAGGACGTCTGGTTTCCTCTGACTTTTCTGAGGCAAGGGTCTCAAAACCTCCAAATAAAGTGGAAAGGCTCCTGCCCCAAGACAATCCCAGCTCAAGGGAGGAAACGTGGTGTAAGGTTTGTTTGCTTTATAAATACAGAAAGGTCCGACAAGGAATTTATGTTGCTAATCCTGCTGATTGAGGCAGGGCAAAGGGAGCAAGGAGATTAATCTCACCATGGCCCTTGTCACCTCTGGACACCTGTAAACACGGCTCCCTGGGCATGGCAGCCCAGGTCGTATGGAAAGCCTCTACGCTCATAGCACAGACTATTGAATTTCGCCGTTCCGAGCACAAGGAAGTTTCTATCTCCAGCTGGTTCCTTGCAGCACCAAATTGTGCCAGCCCACCATCTGCTTCGGCAAGGCTTGCCGGGCTCTCCTTTGCCATTGCTTGGCTCCAGCCACTGTCCCCAGCGTGTGAGGGCGGTGGCGAGCTTTGTCCAGGGCCACAACACGAAGCGTCCGCAGGCCCTGTCCCCAAGACCAGAGTTGTTAATTGTAGGCACTGTGAACCCCGCAGAGAGCCAAAACTACACAGCCCTGAGTGTTGCCCACGTTTGAAGAGCGAGGCTGAGCAGTTCGTCTTCAGGCAGGCTTCCACAGCTTCGCTTCCCCTTTGCAAGGGCAAAGTCTAGAAAGAGAGCAGCAAGCCGGTCAGCGATTAAACAGAAACCTTGGATCCCGTTTTTGGGAAGGAATACGGGCATATTCTTCTAAAGGACAGACGTCGTCTGTCCCAAAGGGCTGTGACTTGACCCTTGTCCAGCTGACATGACAGCTTTTGTAACAACACAAACTTATTATGGGCCTAAAATACAGATTCGCCAGCTGTGTTAAAGCTGAGCCAAAACCACGCCAGAGCCTCCAGCCTCAGCTATGTGCTAACACCTTATAAGTTTCTTCAGCATACTGCCAGCAAAGAGGATTATTACCTGCACGCACATGGCCTGCGCCAGCTGTGCTGTCCCAGGCACAGACCTGAGTCACAGAATCGCACCTGAGCAACAGGTAAGGCCACCGTGTGAGGCTTTGATTTGGTTCTTGCTAGCGCTGGGGAGTTTTCGGTCTACACCTCATCTATGGTACGGTTAAGCTCAGCAGTTCGCTGCTGTTTTAAAGATCTTTTGTTTGGGAAAGCTGGGAGCCAACAGAGACACACTGTTGGCATGTGAGGGTACCGCTCCTCCTCCACCCCCGGCGCGATATCTGTGCTCTCGAGCACTTTGTCATCTAACAGCGGACAATAACAGCACTGTCACTGCTCATCATCGCGGGGGGGGGAGAAGGGCTTCAACAAAGAGATCATTAGAATGGGGAATGGGGGGAGCGGCACGAGGCAGCAGCTGGGAGGTGGGAGTTTCGGGCGCAAGGACTGCTCCACGGGTTATTTCACGACCTCTCAGGCAGGTTGGTTGTGACCAGCAAAGCGCTGGAGGAAGGGGAAAGCCAACAGGCCAGCCCCGATGGCAGCAGACTGCAGCCATGGCCACAAGCACGTCCCTCCAGGGTTCAGTGCAAGCTCTGCTGTCGAATTCACTTACGTCCCACTTGCAAATCACCTGTTTAACTTCCCTAAACTCAGGTGTAACCACGCCGTGTGCTCATCCTGGACGCCAGCGAAGCAGAGTGGTACCTTCACCAAATGTTCGATCCTCACCAGAGCACTTCCAGCCATCTGCATCTCCCAGCCCTGGGACCGTTTCCAGGAGCTGATGTACTTGCGGTAAGCGTGGAAACGGTTGTTCTGAAAACCCAGGGAACCGCCGCGCTGCAGTGCCACGAGTCCGGGGCCCTTCCCCAAGCAGAACCGGCGCTGTGGACAGAAACTGTCCCCAAGAGTGACACAGAAAACGCTCGCTGGAGACTCGCTTCCACGGTGAGCGCGTGCCGCCTGCCTCCAACCCAACTGAGGTGGCAGCCGACCCCGGGCAGCAGGCAGAGATGTTAACGCTGACGTTATCACTCCTTTCCCGGCTCCGCTCAAACCTCCACGCAGGCAAGAGAGCACCTCGACGCCTGCGAGGGGAACGGCAGCGCCACAGAGGGTGGGTGGGCTGTGGGGAGGGTGAAGCTGGCTTCCAAAAAGACGCCCGCGCACAGGAACAAGGGCGTGTGGTCCCAAAACCCGGGAGCAGCCGCTTCCCACAGAAACGTGTCTTCCTGAGCGACATGAGCTGGGCTCTGGATGCCGACGAGTTTACCTCTGCCGAGAGAAACTGTAACTCCTGAAAAGCACCCATCAACTTGTGTTTAAGTTTTGGCAGCGCTCAACATAGACCTCACCAGAGGTAAAAAGCCATCTAAGAAGCACCTTTTTATCAGTGCAAAATCCTGGATCTTCAGTGTTTGGGGAAAATAAATAGTCACGTGGAGAGTCAGCATAGAGTTTTTTTGACTCATCAGAAAACAAAGAAATATTAATCTCTACATAGTCAAGAAAGTAGAAAAAATGAAGCGATAAACCTGCTTGGTTACTGGAAAAGCAAACACAGCCCGTTCTTGCCGTCAGAAGCCTGGCATCGCCGGCGCTATCTCGCCTATAACGTTTACAAATGTCAAGTGTTCGCACTGAAAAGCTAAAGACAAAAGAAATCCAGTTCTCCTGCAGCTGCTTCAGAGAGCTGAACGGAGAACTCCTGCTTCGAGAGGGCCATTACACACACGCTGGCAAACCGCAACAAGGAAGCTCCCAGCAGCCCGAGAGAGGACAACACATCCCACCGCCTGAATTCCCAAACAGGATTTCACCGAGTGCGCCACCTGGGCTTCTCCTCGTGCTCCGACACAACGAGCACAGTTGGACAACTAACACAAAAGCTGCCGTACCCGTTAAGTGTCTGAAATAACACCGAGAGGATATTAAATTTTATGTGGTGCGTTACATCATAGCGCAGACCCAATTAAAGGCAGGTCTGGGACCCCGCAGGGACCGGCCTCGGCCCCGGCACAGGAGGAGCCGCGCTCTGCCAGGGCGAGAGGTGCCCTTGGGCAGAGGACTCGGTGGCTGCAGAGTCCGTCCCCAGCTCGGCCTTATCTGGAGGGAGGAGCCGGATCTCCAGGTACGGTGCTGATAGTTTGGCCGGCCGGGTCCTGCTCACCCCCCAGGAAAACACTAACTTGATCCCACGCCACGGCTCTGCTGTCTCGGGGGGAAAAACTCCCACCCATGGAGCCGGGGAGACTTCAGACCGTTCAGCTGGAGAGGCAGCAGATAAGCCAATGGCGTCGGA